CAGAAACGTGCGTAACAAAAGAGTATCCTCAGACGCTCGTCGCGTTAAGACTACCAAGCCATGTAGTTACGCACGTTTCTGATTTTATGCCGGTCGACTAGCCTCATTCGCCATATTCGCGCGCACGACCTCTCTGAACGGTGAAACAACGGAACCACTTTCCACCTATAACGGGGATTTGTTCGACAATACCGGCGAGAATCCGGGTCGATTGTTCGTCTACACAAATACAACGGACTTGGAAAAAAAGCAGCACGAAAACGATGTACCAGTTTGTTTTTGACGTACCATTTTGCTGTTGCAAACCCTGTGTTAAGTGTGTACAATTAAAATTAATGTTCATGGATGCAAACCAACTGCATTTTTCTACTAAATTATACGATGTTTTTATGCGAATTCGACGGAATATTTATCTCAGGAACTGTAAAACTAATAGGTTTGCAAATAGAAATGGTGTTAAATTTTAGAGTGAAAAAAAATTAGGTGACAAATTTATTTATTTGTCCTTCGCAAAACGAAGGACAAAATTAAACCAGGTTTTATTTCGCGAATCGAAGTCGATTGCGAAATTTAATCAAGTTTTATTTTGATGTTCGATTATCATTTATAGTTATCGATATAAATCGATTCGCTAAATCTCATACTTGCCGCTAGGTGGCGTATATCTCGGAGCTGCCATATCAACATCGATAATTGTAAGCGATAATCGATTATCAATTATCGATTCGTCTAACCTTATACCTGCCGCTAGGTGACGCGTGTGTCTCGGAGCAGCCGTATATATACCCGGCAATCGCGCGGGGTTGTCAGTCCGTCAGCTACCTTAGTCGTGAGCGGATCAGAGATGGAAGCATTCCGNTCGGAGCTGCCATATCAACATCGATAATTGTAAGCGATAATCGATTATCAATTATCGATTCGCCTAACCTTATACCTGCCGCTAGGTGGCGTGTGTGTCTCTGAGCAGCAGTATATATACCCGACAATCGCGCGGGTATGTCAGTCCGTCAGCTACCTTAGTCGTGAGCGGATCAGAGATGGAAGAATTCCGGAAGCTCATATCTTTTTTACGCGGTTCATGCGCCGTAGATTTCATTGGGCAACTACCACCTGAAATTGCCCACCATATATTGAATTTTTTGGATAATGAATCGTTTTTTTGTACAGCACTCGTATCTCGACAATGGGCTAACGTATGCCGTTCTTCAAACAGACGACGCAGGCCCAATACGAAAATGTTGAATTGCAGGAAGTTTAGGCAAACCATCCAGTGGAGTGGTAGAAATGTTTCAGCAGAAACATTGTGGCTGAAGAAAAAGATGTCGTGTAACACGACATCGCTGATGCCTTGCAGGATCCACAATCTCCACCGTGGTGGACGATATATAGCGGGAACATTTAGAAATTGCCCATTACGAATATAATTGACCTCGAAATAAAATCTGATTAAATTTTGTCCTTCATTTTGCGTAAATAAAGTTGTCACCTAATTTGTTTCATTCCAAGTTTTAACAACAAATTATATTTTGTAACGCGAGAGCTCGAAGTGCCCGTTACAAGGGCGGTGACTCTCGAAAGGGCCCTATCGCTAGTAGGGTGGCNTTGACCTCGAAATAAAATCTGATTAAATTTTGTCCTTCATTTTGCGTAAATAAAGTTGTCACCTAATTTGTTTCATTCCACGTTTTAACAACAAATTATATTTTTTAACGCGGCATCTCGAAGTGCCCGTTACAAGGGCGGTGACTCTCGAAAGGGCCCTATTGCTAGTAGGGTGGCGCGATCCCCGCGAGCGCCTATTTAAATTAGAGAGTTTGTTTTATGTTGTAATACAGGGCGCGCGGGGATTGTCGAGGCGAGCCCCGCGTCTCCTTTATATGTGTAGCCGCGCTCTGGATGGCGGCGAGAAGCGGACGGGGTACGTACCGCCGGGGGAGGAGCAGAGGTCGCCTGAACTTACTGCCTAATTTATCGTGTTCCGTTCCCTCGGCAGCGGCAAAGCCGGCGGGCTGAGGACGCGTACTTTTTGATGACAATGGGAAAATTTTGATATTATTTTAATATATTATTAAAGCCAAACATAGTTCTATGTAGCATGTAATTTGTTTAAACAAATTCATAAAAGTTATAAACAATTAGAAATTACATGTACTTCGCAATCGGTTAGTTGTAGACAAAAATGTTTACATATTTCGATTCCTTATTCAATTTCGAATAAAGGAGTGAAAAAAAAAGTTGGTAACTCGCAATAGGTAAATATCAATGTTCATTTGTTTACAACGACGAGCAATGGCGCAAACTGGACGCGATTATAAACGATTAGAAATTACAAGTNACAAAAATGTTTACATATTTCGATTCCTTATTCAATTTCGAATAAATGAGTGAAAAAAAAAGTTGGTAACTCGCAATAGGTAAATAACTACGTTCATTTGTTTACATCGATGCAGCGGCGCGAACTGGACGCGGCGCGCTATTAGTAAATCATTTGCGCGTATTTTTTGATGAAAATGGGAAAATTTTGATATTATTTCATTATCTTATTAAAACAAAACATAGTTCTACGTAGCATGTAATTTGTTTAAAGAAATACTTAAAAGTTATAAACGATTAGAAATTACAAGTACTTCTCAATCAATTACGACTATAATGTTTACATATTTCGATTCCTTATTCAATTTCGAATAAATGTGTGAAAAAAGAGTTGGTAACTCGTAATAGGTAAATAACAAAGTTATTATTCGAGAATTTAGTTACTTTCCGTACTAGAAACAATGCTATTTCGAAGCAACGCGGGTGCAAATATGTCACGCGGAAATAAAATGTGATGAAATCTGCTTCACTGAGGGCTAACTTGTGCGGAAAACGCCAAATTAATATGAATAGCGAATTGCCGATTGAAACATCCCTAGAAAGATGGAAGATGCCATTTTAGATTCAACGCTTGCTTTGTATAAGTACTGTTTACAAATAATTGATAATGTATTAAAGTCATAACGGAGAAATTATATTGTCACTAATAACATTAAATTTCGTCGATGTCAACGAGATTTGGATTTATCAGTATTGAATAAGTATTCGTACATGTAAAAGTGTTCAAAAAGCTTACAGGACAGTGAAAATATTCCTCGAGCGGACCGCGCGATTGCATTCCACCGCACCCAACGCTGTGGAGATTTACCGTAATATTTAACAACTTTTGGTATTTGCACCGAAACAATGACATTTCGAAGCAACGCAAATAAGCTGCGTGGTAATAAGATGTGATTGAATCCGCGTGATTGATTAAAGTAAAACTTTTGTGAAAAACACGATATTAGGTTAAATATGATTTGTCAATTGTCAATTTAAAGATCCCTAGAGAGAGCAAAGGACCAATCAGAAACGTCGAGTTGAATCACGGTGTGTTCTTGATGGATGTATTTTTCACGTATTAATTGGAGAACAATATCAACTTTAGATTGTGTGTCCGCTTGTGTTTAAAACTATTTATATTTAAGGTAATAATTATTTACTACCTTAATTTATCAATTACGTGTTGTTCCATTAAAATAAATAAATCTTCCTAATAATATAATTTTTATCCCATTATAATTCTACCACTTGACACAACACTTCGGTTATAACGTTAATATACTTTAATGTGTAATGCAACGTTAATGTTTAATTAATATATAATTGATACATTTA